TTTTATTTGTAAAAAAAGATTAACAAACGTAAATAAATTTTTTCTTTTATAACTATATTAACTTTATACTCGTATATATATTAAAAAAAAGAAAAGATTTTTGATATAAATGAAAAATCTATTGCTAGTTACAATTTAATTTAACTTTTTGTTTTTTAGTAACTTAAAACTTATATTAGTGATGTTATATATTTAATAAGTAATTGTCATTAGATTTTCATCCTAAAAATGATAAAGAACAAAGGTATATGAGTAGTTGTATCGTATATAGTTTATTTAAAGTTTTATCAGCGTATTCATAACAACTATCTTTATGGTTATTGTTATTCAACATACTAAGAATAAAGGTTGTTTCTATCCAAATTTTACTGTAAAATGTTGTATATTATTCATGTCAAGTAAAATAGTGGTCGACACAACAAGTGCCACGTTACTTTTTTTGAATACAAGTATAAAATGTTTCAATTAATCTATCAATTACCGATTTGATTAAAATTATATTATACTATGAAAAATGTCAAAATTGAAAACTGTATGTTTGTATAGTATATATAATGCTTAATATTATCATTATTAAAAAAATTCTAACTAAATTTAAAAATGTACCGAAAATTTGTGTTGACAATAGATAATTTAACTTAATTTAATTATAAGCAAAATATAAACTTTCCAATCTCATAATTGTTTTCATTTTGCTGGTTATTATTTTTTATTTAGGATGCCTATCGAAATTTGAATTATAAAAGTTAACGTAAATATCTGTGCCACTTTTTACATAAATATTTAAATACAATTATAATTAGTTTTGGTTGCGATTTTGTTGTATATGTACTTAATTATGTTAAATAAACTACACAAACACCAAAATTTATATAAATCCTGAGCCCAATGACTCAATTTACAATGATACTTAAGTTATGATATTTATTATAGTAAAATTTAACATAATCATAACTAATGCGAATTTGGTTAATTTTTTTAATAATTATGTTTATTATTATTTATTTATAATATAAGTATCAAAGTAAATTAGAATTAACAAATGATTAATGATTATATAATATTAGTATTTATTGATATTTTTATTAATATATAATTTTATTATTATTGTAGGTACTTATATATTTTGTGTGTAAGTCTGTGACATTGATTATTCTTGGAATATATTTTTCTGGCGTATATGACTCAAGAGTGATATAATAATATTAAACATATTAAAATGATTATTAATAACTAAAAATAATTTTTCAGACTGAAAATAAGTAAATATATGTGAATTGAATATTCAAATTAAAAAATAAGAACATATAAGAATTTTTTTAAACGAAAAATCATATTAAAAAATATTTAATGTCTGCTTAATCTAGTAAAAAAGTTTTATCCATTATGATAACATTTAAATTTATATGAAACATAGTTTTTCAATGTATACAGGAATTCAGAAATTACAATAATAGCGTGACATACATAGAATCTAAGATTACATTGTTAATCTCCACTCTAGTCTTAAGAACTGAAAACCATATAATATATTGGTTATTTTAGAAAAAGAAATTCAAAATGTCTGTACTGTACCTTCTTAGGTCAGTGAAGTACAAGTCTAGTTCAATAATTTATCAAGTATTGACATAATTCTTATTTTTAGTTGGTAACAGAGAATATTGTTTGAGTGTAATAAAATTGAAGTTTTAAATGTAAAATACGACCATAATGACACACCAAAGAATCGACTTAGATAAAAGAATTGTCGACGTTTGATTTATCGCAATTTGGTTAGCAAACTTTGTACAACGGGATAAATAAACGTTCAGCAAAACTATTGTCAAAGGTTTACGATATTTTAGTGAAGTTCGTTACTTTGTTCATACCAGAGTATAAGTCTTAAGTCTGTAATTGAGTTCCAAAATAAACAGCGGTAGATACATAAACCCCTGTTGAATAGGTATTGTGTTTGATACTGATATTTGAATGGTATGTAATAATTATTTCGAGAACACTTTGAGCAAAAAGTGATTTGAATATAAGATGAACGCAAAAAGACCTGATAATTGATGTTACTAGTCACTGTACGATGGTGCTTTTGCTCTATCCTCGAAACATCGTCTAATTTGACGATAGTATTTAATTGCTTTGACACAAATGTTCGTTTATAATTTGTTTGGTGGATTTATTATAAACGCCTACAGATGCGTATCAAATAAGATTATCTATCTCGATGATTTAAAACAAATTCACCAAGATGTGCAAAATGAAATATTATGGTTTCATCAAGTGTCGGTTATTATAATATTATTATTGCTCTCATTTTAAAAGACGTAACGTGATAGTGACAAGTGAACGGAACATAATCAAATGCCGTGTTCGTGGCTTCGATAACTACTACTTAACACTTCCTGTACATAAATATGCATTATTACGAAGCAGTGTGTAAATTTGTGAAAATTATCTGTAAGTAATATAATTATATAATGTATATATACTGCTTAGTTAGGTTTCGTTCGTCCTCCTACTGAAATACGCGTAATATGCGTGCTTCTAAATCATTTTATAATCAGATTATATTGTGTTGTTGGCAAATAACAACTTTGAACTCGGTAGAAGCTTTTGCACTGAAATCCGATCATGATAAATTTATTATAGTTACATATGTTAAATTTCACTACCTATGAATTTACACATCCATCTCGTCGGTTTGTTTTTAATAACAGTCGACCTATAATTACACTGTGTTGGGTATATTTTCATTAGGTATGAGAATTTCCTATTAACACGGTTGATTAATCATATCTCAAATGAATTTCCTATTTTAGTTGGTGGTGTAATAATACTTTTAATCTAAATAGGTAAGTCAAGATAATGTTTAGATAATAAAATATTATTGTATAAACGAAACATGGCGCTGGTGTAAAACAATGTTCGTTTCCGTTAATAATTTCTTTTTAAATTAATATTTTTAGAAATCATATTTATTGTTTAGTTAGAAAATTAATAAGGTAAGAATAATTTAGATATTTTTGATACAAACACAGTAGGACCCGAGTAATGTATCGAATTAACTGTACGAGTAGATTATCACAGTTAAGTTTTTAATTATAAATATTATCAAAGAACTGTTTTATAACTTCTAGTATTTATGAAACAAAAACTGCCTTTTTAAATAATTAAAGTTTTTTAAATTAATTTTTTTTTTTTTTTACTTATTGAAAACGTTTCATTATTCTTTTAATCAGGGCAAATCATAATAATAAAATAATAATTTGGCTACTAAGTAGAATTTGGTATAAAAACTTTACACGTTTTCAAACAATGTAGCAAATTTTAATTAAAATGACTCTCTAGATATAAATATTTATTTTTTCTTTATAATTTTACTGCAGAATGTGCAACGATACTACACCTCAGTTGATAGTATCTTTTACGCTGTTAAAAAAAATTTATTTAAAAACGATTACTTTAGATTATCTTGAATCGTATGAAAATATATTGAAGCGGAACACAAAATATTTTTTTATAAGTTTACAGTATTATCCTTTAATGTTCATCTAAAATTAAACGAAAATATATTTTTTCCCTAAGTGAATAATTCTGAAAAAGACATAAATATAATCAAATTGAAAAATAATATACATATTTTAAATTCGTAATTTCATTATAAATATCTGTTTTACCAAATTGATTCACTAAAATGTGTATAATTTAATACATTTTTTTTTCAAAGGAATAAATTACTAAGAAAAAAAAAAAATCAATAATAAATTTAGTAAACATTGACGAATGAAAAAAAATAGTCATGAATGTTTATCCACAGCTAAACGAGATTCATACATTTTTAATTATTATTCACGAGTGTAGCGTAATACAAAATGTAAAACAATATTAAATACCTACGTTAACTACCTACAATTGTTGTTATAATTTTCGTGTGGTTTTTGTTTACATAAAATACTTTACATGCATTAATGACGGTGGTTCTATATTGTATTAATGGCAATTAAAGCTAGAACAAAATTATAGCTTATATTTAACAATGCGAAATACTCGTAATAATCATTTTATTACTTATAGGTGTCATAAATCAGTTGTAACATGATAAATAAGCACGAGTTTTACGAAAATAAAAAAAAGTAAGACGTAATAATTGGAAGTTAAAAATTGATTTCATGAATACCTAATGACTGGTGGTATAATTATTTTTACTATACGTCAGTCGGACCATTGTAATTATTTTCCAACCAACGATGGTGAAAATGCATGCATAGATATTATATTTTTAATCATTATATCCATTAAGCAGGTGAGTACTTTTAATTTACAGAAGCTCAAAAAACGACAAAAATATAGAAAGTGTATAAAAAAACTAACAAAAATGATTGCACTATAAGAAATCAAAAATATAAGTGCTCAATATGGTTTTCAATTAATATTTAAACAACGGTATGACTACAAAAAAAAAAAAGTATAAGGTAAACAAAATCATGCGACGCAAGGTTATTCATGATTATAACAAGACATAATGTTTGCTTAATCATTATACTTTTATTGAGTTAGTATTGCAAATGATAAACGTAAGCAGAGGGACATATTTGAAGTCCTTCAATACACTTATAAAAATATATAAATTTTATTTAATATATAAACAACTAACAAGAGATGGGTACGCAGAATTATTTCTCATACGAAAGAGGTATTTCGCCATTGCTCCACCACATCATCAAATATTTTTCAATTTTGGAATATGTACACAGGACTTGATATAAGTATAATATAGTTATTACTTTTATTTTTGTACTCGGCAGTGAGTTTATCAATACATTTGGGTCTTGCAGTTAACATTTTCTGTTTTTGACATAATTTTTTCAATACTTTATTACATGTAGTTCTCGCGGGTAATATTTGTTTACTGTGTCATTGTTATATTAGTGATGGATTTTTAGTGTCTTTATGTTTACGGTTTATAAAAATATTTGCATGTTTTCGCAAGGTATCAAAACGGTACTCACTCTACACACGACAACCGAGTCTTGTCCTCTCCATGATATTTTGATTGGTTCGTATGTTCTGTCAACAAATCTGGTCGATTGATGTAATGAGGCCATTACTGATATCCAGGCAACGCACTTAAGGACTCGCGGCATGGTACACCATGTCCTCGCCACTGGTGCATGACACACGTATATGTACCTGTGTTCAACAAACAATATTTTAGTGTTGTTAAATGTATTAAGTTTTGTTAATTATAATAAAATATAGAATATAATGTATGTTTTGCACTACATTGTGTGTGGAATAGTTTTCGCTATTAAACGAATTTGGTTTAATTAATGAATATTGAATTTTGTATAAACGCGTTAGATACAACTCGGTTAATCATTTAGGTGATTTCAAAATTTTATTCAACATTTATCGGATGTACCGTTTTTTATTTTTTTAATAATTGCATATTACGAGTACATTAATCGTAATGAAACGAAAAAAAATGCATGCAATTTATCTTTCCATTACAAAGTTAATTAATTAAATCACAGTATTTAGAATTGTTGACAAAAAAATAAAATTACTTTAAAAAGTTTTTTCCATTATTGTAAATATTTTTCACTGAATAGATTATTATGAATTATCTAAACGATTTTGTTTACTATAAAACAAGTTTATACATATAATTGAAACAAAATTATGGTCAGTATGTATGTGATACAAAATATATACGAAAATAAAATATTTATTAATATTGCTCAATGATTTCCTTGACATTGATTTAGGATTTATTATTCATTGTCTACAATGAATATTTCAATATTTTTTTTTTTTTTTTATAAACAAATATTGTATAAAATAATATTATCAAACGATGTCCTTTAAATTTTTTACAAGTAATACTTATTTATATACACTTAGGATAGGTTATAGTATTTTTTAAATTTAAATGGTTTATTCGTTAAAAAAAAATCATATATTTAAAAGATTCATTTTATGTTTTTTATACATTTTTTTAAAATAAGCAATTTTAATTTATGTATTATAACAGCTATAATTAAAATATTAAAAAAATCGAATTTCATAAATTGCATGTAAGCGAATAAATTTAGATAAAAATGTTTTAGCGAGAGAGTTGGAATCACAAGTGAGTTACATTAATCGCTCTAGAATTTAATCACCAAATTACGTGACTAGTAATTTGTGCAAAATGAGGTCAAACTACGGAATCAATTAAGTATATTTGCTTTTGAAATAAACTATAATAACTAGATTGAAGAAATAATTGTAGTACTTCGTATTACAGAGACATAAGAACCACAACTTTTGAATACTGTGTTTAAAAAAAACTGTTGTACATGATTTGATAATTAAATTTAAAAAAACAACAACACATTTCTCGTCAAAAGCATATATTGTTTATTTGTTCAAAATATTATAGTTATTAATTTAAGAAATCAGTAATGTATAATGATAGAATTAAACGCTGGTTTATAATATGAATAAATCTGTATCATACGTGCAATGTAAATATTATTTTTTGTTATTTAAATTTATAATGAATTAAAATATTTTTAACAATTTTAAATTTTTTAAGAAACATATTATGCATTATTATGTACTAAATTTTTAAGCAAACGTAAATATCACGAATTTTCAGCGATTAACGATTGCAATTTTTTCATGAGTTATACAAAATGTATCAAACGCTGAACTTTTTTTAAAAATTATACTGTAATATAAACGTTTTATGAGAAATATTATATATTTTTAAGCCCAATTTATAAAAATTAAAAGTATATACATTTTTACTATTGATCATTTTATTCATATAGCAAATTTTTGTGATTTGGGATTTGAAATATAATATTATATATTTATAAAATAATAAATGATACAATAAAAATATATTGTACAAAATATATTACATTTTCAATGTTTTTTAATAGAATAAGTACAAATATATTTTAATATCATAAAAATATACTAAAAATTATAATATGTCAATTTATAACTGTATAATTATTTATTAAAAAATTTACTTTAAAAGGTTTCTTTTTTTGAAAAATAATCGATTTAAAATACGCAAATATTCACATTTTATTTTTTTTGTTCTATGTTTTACTGATGATAAATAAAAGTACTACGAATTATCTACTCTCAAAGTTGAAAATTTAAAATGTTTAGAGTTGACGACAAACACACATAATAAAAAAAAAAAAACACTTAATTTTAAATCGATAGGTACATACAAAATCTAAAAAAATATATGATATTAAATATTTGATAATTAAAAAAAAATATACTTAATATTTTAAAGATATATATATATATTATAAAATTAAATTATAAATTGATGAATTCAACTTGAAGTACATTCTTTATTGAAATATTCACGTTAAATCATTTGTTATAATTTTTTTCAAATTTTTCTCACGTGTTTGCTTTTTGATTTAAGTACCTAATATTACTTTCTTGACAAAATTATTATGTTAAACTAACTTGTATTTTCATACGATTTATTACTTATTACTTTACATACTAAACTGTAATAAATTATTTATAGATTATATCTTAACAAGTTCTTCTGTAAACCGATTCAATATTTGAATATCTACGTTTGAACCTTTTCATTTTAAAATTAAAACGTGAATGTACCATATGAAAAAAGTTCGTTTGCCTTTTATGTTTAAATATTTTACACATTCATTAAAAATACGAATTAAAGCGTTTTTGTTGTAATTCAAAATAAATCAATATTGTGATATTTATATTATAATTTATAAAATATAAAATAAATCAACAGTTTATTTAGTAGATTTTTTCTATATTACTATAAAAATGATATATATTGTGTATATTTATGTCCTGTTAAAAATTCTAAAATTTGATTTAACTTATACATTTTCATGTTGTAGTTACATTTATCTATATTAACACACGTATTATTATGTTATGTAAAAATTTCGTTTATAAATAGCGCCTTATAATATTTATTATTTTATTATAATAAAAAAAAAATAAAATAAAAATTCTTATTTAAATTTGAGTATAAATATAAATCAAACTTGTAAAGAAAAAACGCAGTTATATAAGGCATTAAATATAGGAATTATTTGTAAAGTTAAAGCTTAATGATTTACAAGTGTATACTATTCCAAAATTAAAAAAAAAAAAAAAAAAAATGTTGAAATATTTTGATAAATATTCTATGAAGTTGCAAATGGTATCCGTTAATAACATTTTAATTATTGTACGATCACATATTTTCAATCAAAAACCCGTTTGGCATGAGAAAATATCCATATGATATTTTATTGATGTAACTTATAAAATCAAATTTACACAGTTGTAGTTTTCGATGAGAACTTTATCCACGAATTACCACTGTTAACTGCTGTTTCCGACATAAACAAATAATATTACTGGATCAGCAAATGATAATAAAAGTAGAATAAAATAAGTTAGTAAAAACAAATATTTCCAATGCTACAAATGCTACAAATATCTTCAATGCATCTATTGATGTTCAATAAAGTTCAGGAAAATATTTATCAATCTATAGTAAAAATTAAGTTTAATACTATTTATTTCATTTAAGTAAACTTATTTGACTATAAAACGAGGTTTTTAGTGTCGTAAAAATAAAAAGCTCGTTATGCTGTCTTAATGATACATATCTGCTTTAGAAGAAAATTAACGATAATTAAGTACAATAACTGTAATGTTATGATACTTCTGTAACTATAATATTTATAAATTATTAGTGACCTATTATGTATTTCTTGTTACACGATTTGAGCATTATATTAATTTTCATAAGTAGTGTTAGAAATAATTATAAATATAATATACCTCATGGTATCATTAATTAAAATGATACGGATGGAATACGATTATGTATTATTCAATTGTTAATTAAATAAATGTGTTGTATGACTTCAGTAATATGTAAATATTTAATTAATTATTAATAATATCCTAAATATTCAATACATTTTCGCTTTACCCAATCATCATTATTTCAGATTGATACGATTACTATTTTAATTTCGAGATTTGCAAACAAAAAAATATTTGATTAAATATGTTTAAGATTTTGGTCTATTTCTGATTGATGGATCCAATTAAAATCAAATGGAATTATGTACGATTGGAATACAACAGTGTTGCCTTTGGCTGAAATTTCGATTTGAAAATAAGAGAATTATGAACGTGTTTTGTGGCTTGATTGATTTTTAGAATAGTCGTAATATATTTTTGAGGACTTATTCGTTTTAAACTTATCAGAGTTGAATTTCTTTGTATCTCACTGATACTAAATTGCGATAGAGACTATAATAGACTAAACTATAATACCACGGAGCCATTGTTAGAATAGAAAACAATCGGCTTTATCGCTAGAATAAATCGAAAACTAGAAGATTAAGTTAGGTTAAGTACTAATGTATAGCTTATTACACTATCAAGTTTACCAAATTGAAAAGTATGTTATTGATGATCGTATTGATTCTGGAATGAAACGTTTACTACATTTTTGTTATTTATAATGTTTAAATTATAAAATATACTCTTACCTTTTATTAAAAATCCTATTCATAAAATATTCATTTTTTTTTTTAACAGTTAACTAGCACATCTCTAGTTTTTAATATAAATTATTTAAAATAGTTTAAGTAATTAATTTTAAAATATTGAATTATAAACAATTATTTAAAATCATTTTATTATTATTATATCGAGTAATCAATATTTTCGCTAACATATTTTGTATAAAATTAATATAAAAATTAAAACTTTGAGTCAATAATCTAGCCACCTAGGCTTATCTTAATATAAAACAAAAGAATATTAATTTATCCATTATTATGATAAAACTGTTATCTACTAGGATATATATGTATAATATATTATATTGCTTCAATAATATAAGTCTTAATATAAACAAATGAAAAAATAAATGTTTATGTTTAAATAATAAAAAAAAGGATTAAAAAAATATAGTTATGTACTTTACAAAGATTTTTGGTGTATTCTAATGACAGTTTTAACTTTTTAATATAACCAACTGTTACAAGTCCACAATAAAATATATAAGCATAAAGTGCTGATGGTGCTTTTGTTTAACTGGTTATAATATGATATAGCTTCATTATTTTTTACAACTTTACAAAGTTTTAAAACCTGAGATCATTTTTTTATATTTT